GTTTTTTGTCACTAGATGTATGTTGATGGTCATATAGCTAGTGACAAAATACCGCGGATACTTTTTAGATAACCCAATATAAGGTCCAGTTCCACAACTTATGGTTAACTCTTAATTGAGATTCAACTTGTTTCTTTCTAATTCAAGAATTGGAAAGAGGCAATGGTCTAGTTTCCATCAAGGGTTTAATCCGAATCAGAATATAAAAATCAACCAACTACAGTCGAGTATTCCCCTGTTACAGTCAAATGATAGGGGAATGCTCGACTGTAGTTGGTTGGTTTTTACATTCTGATCTGGATTAAACCCTCGATGGAAACTGGGCCAATGAATAAGTTGAACCACGGTTAATGGTATATCTATACAAACTTGCATATAGTTGGTATAGCCGCATAGTATGTATAAAGAAAATTATCCAATCACATTTCTTCTATAAAGGTGCACATAAAATGTGATTGGATAATTTTCTTTATGCATACGTTTATGCGGTTATACCAACCTGGCTATGCAAATTTGTGTGGATATACCATTAAATTTAATGAATTGTGATCCTAGACTGGATCTAGGATCTGCAGAATGCAAATTGCAGAACGCAGGTCGCAGGAGGCTTATTAAGCGGTTCTACATTAGTTGCAAGCTTATCGCAAGTTTGTTGTGACAGCCAATCTGAAGCTTTCATTTTGAAATCGACGCTTCATATTGGTTATCACAACAAACTTGCGATCAGCTTGCAACTAATATAGAACCGGCTTTACGATTCTTGAAATGAGGTGAAAATTGCGATAGTGATCAAATTTACTAGATTATTTATAACTTTATTAGTTAATACCTACTGAGTTTGGTCATTTTTGTAATTTTTACTTCGTCTAAAGAACAATAAGGATGCTGTCCCATGTACACAGAATCGGAACGATGGAACGGATTTCTTACTAGAAAATTGAGTTCACTACAATTTCGTAAGAAATTTCCGTAAGAAATTTCTTTATCCCATGTAAACGGAACAAAATGGAAACAGACAGAATGTCGCCTCGGTCGTAAGCTAATTTGCTTAATTTAATCAATATTTCATTATTTTAATGTGACTAAAGTAGAAATATGCATAATTTGTGCAATTATCTTACTTATAAAGCTGGTTCTACATTAATTGCAAGCTGATCGCAAGTTTGTTGTGACAGCCAATCTGAAGCTTGCATTTTGAAATCAATGTTTTATATTGGCTGTCGCAACAAACTAGCGATCGGCTTGCAACTAATGTAGAACCGGTTTAACATTACTTTGAATACTCAAAAATATTGAATTATAAGAGTGAGATATATTTTGTTATTAAAATTCCATTGCGTTGCGGCGACATGGGACGGGTATAGAAAATTTTTACGGAACGAAATGGCATGTTTAACTAAGTTGATCGAATGTAAAAATTGAAACGAATATTCAGAAACTTATTTTGTAAATCTGGATAAAGAGTAGTGTTATCACTGTTATATGTATAATGTTATTACTGTATAATGTTAAAATTATTGCGAAAAGCAAGAAATGTTGGCTATTCCAATATTTAAGAGGATGCGAAAATTTTATTTCGCTTATAACGTTTTATTGCAACAGCAGAAATATACAAGAAAACGAAAATTCTGGATACAGTCAATGTTTACACAAAGAATGAGGTTACCAAGACGCAAGTGACAATTTAGTCCTTGAAATGCAAACGACCGATCGTGAGAAGTTCTCCAATTACTTTTCAGAATGACATCGGAATTATTTAAAAAATTGTTGGCATTATAGTTGGACTATGTATTAGGTGTTGGAATTAATTCGTAGCGTTTTTAATGAAAGAATGTTATTTATTTCACATGAGCATTAAAAAATACATTAATGAAAGTACTTCCCATCACTTGTAAAACGCTACGAATTAATTCCAACACCTAATATATATAAAATAAGAATATGTATTGAAAAATAAGAATTATTATTAATTTTCTTCTTCGAAGTTGTCAAATTTTCAACCATCAACAATAGCTGAATCGATATAGCCTGCAATCGACATGACACTCTATTGATTCCATATCGTCTCTATACCGTTCCGACTATGGTTCCGATACAGTAAAGAAACTTTTTACGGAATGGAATGAACTGATTTCTAGTAAGAAATCTGTTTCGTCGTTCCGATTTCGTGTACATGGGACGCACCCTAAGGCTATATCTATGCAAGTTTGTGTGGATATACTCTAATAAGTCTCCTGGTCATGGCTTCTGCACACTGGACGCGGAAATGCTTGTCGCGCGGCAAAAGGAGACGCGGTAACTAGGGATGTTTATTATTCGATAATATCGAATATTCGATATTTTTTGCTGCTCAATATAAAAATATCGAATAAAAAATTATGAATAAAATATTGATTAAATATTTTTTTATTACTCATATTCACTCTCCATTTTTATGAATACTTATAAAGCGGAATCCATAGTCGTTGCTCAAGAGATGATCTTAAGCTAGTGCATGTGAACCAATCAGAGAACCATATTAGAATCTTAAGATATTGCTTGAGATAACGGATTATGATTTCCAGCCTTAGGGAGTTTTGAGTGCATTCGGTAATCGATAGGTTGGTACTACGTTGAACTTGACTGAGCTCTCAATGAGCTCTTACATTTATTTGGTTGTACTTTTAGATCCAACAAAATATGCCAATTAGATGCAGGAGCGCTCAACATAAGCGGTGTCAGAGTTTATAAAAAAATGATCATTAAATACATTTTTCATCAATTATATTTCTTAACTTTTGTTTTTATTTTAGATTGTTTTTATTTTTTATTTTTGAGTTAATATTTAAGGGCTAATGATTAGTTATTGAGACATAAAAGAAGGAGTTCCATTTATTGTTTATAATATTGATTGGGACTATAAATAAACGAAGCCTCCCATTTCAAATGATCAAATATCACAGATCTTTGTTCATAAGTTTTAAAAAAATTGGGAATTTTTTAAAATCTATTTGCTGTGCAATATATTCGATATAATGTCTATTCATTCGGAATGAACATAGATAATTTTAAAATATCTGAATATATTGGGTCATCTAAAAAGTATCCGTGGTTTTTTGTCACTAGATGTGTGTTGTTGGTCATATATCTAGTGACAAAGTACCGCGGATACTTTTTAGATGACCCAATATATTCAGATATTTTAAAATTATCTATGTTCATTCCGAATGAATAGACATTATATCGAATATATTGCACAGCAAATAGATTTTAAAAAATTCCCAATTTTTTTAAAACTTATGAACAAAGATCTGTGATATTTGATCATTTGAAATGGGAGGCTTCGTTTATTTATAGTCCCAATCAATATTATAAACAATAAATGGAACTCCTTCTTTTATGTCTCAATAACTAATCATTAGCCCTTAAATATTAACTCAAAAATAAAAAATAAAAACAATCTAAAATAAAAACAAAAGTTAAGAAATATAATTGATGAAAAATGTATTTAATGATCATTTTTTTATAAACTCTGACACCGCTTATGTTGAGCGCTCCTGCATCTAATTGGCATATTTTGTTGGATCTAAAAGTACAACCAAATAAATGTAAGAGCTCATTGAGAGCTCAGTCAAGTTCAACGTAGTACCAACCTATCGATTACCGAATGCACTCAAAACTCCCTAAGGCTGGAAATCATAATCCGTTATCTCAAGCAATATCTTAAGATTCTAATATGGTTCTCTGATTGGTTCACATGCACTAGCTTAAGATCATCTCTTGAGCAACGACTATGGATTCCGCTTTATAAGTATTCATAAAAATGGAGAGTGAATATGAGTAATAAAAAAATATTTAATCAATATTTTATTCATAATTTTTTATTCGATATTTTTATATTGAGCAGCAAAAAATATCGAATATTCGATATTATCGAATAATAAACATCCCTAGTTACCGCGTCTCCTTTTGCCGCGCGACAAGCATTTCCGCGTCCAGTGTGCAGAAGCCATGACCAGGAGACTTATTAGAGTATATCCACACAAACTTGCATAGATATAGCCTTAGGGTGCGTCCCATGTACACGAAATCGGAACGACGAAACAGATTTCTTACTAGAAATCAGTTCATTCCATTCCGTAAAAAGTTTCTTTACTGTATCGGAACCATAGTCGGAACGGGCGCTCAACATAAGCGGTGTCAGAGTTTATAAAAAAATGATCATTAAATACATTTTTCATCAATTATATTTCTTAACTTTTGTTTTTATTTTAGATTGTTTTTATTTTTTATTTTTGAGTTAATATTTAAGGGCTAATGATTAGTTATTGAGACATAAAAGAAGGAGTTCCATTTATTGTTTATAATATTGATTGGGACTATAAATAAACGAAGCCTCCCATTTCAAATGATCAAATATCACAGATCTTTGTTCATAAGTTTTAAAAAAATTGGGAATTTTTTAAAATCTATTTGCTGTGCAATATATTCGATATAATGTCTATTCATTCGGAATGAACATAGATAATTTTAAAATATCTGAATATATTGGGTCATCTAAAAAGTATCCGCGGTACTTTGTCACTAGATATATGACCAACAACACACATCTAGTGACAAAAAACCACGGATACTTTTTAGATGACCCAATATTTAGCTGATATTTTTGTTCGACATGTCTAGCGGTAATCAATGAATACATTAAGAGCTATAAGTTTATTGGCTACCGCGTCACATTTGTCGCGTGGTAATCGTTTCTGCGTCCAATAGGCAGAAGCCATTAGGATGAAATCACATGCGAAAAACTACTGCGAAATAGAAAATGCGTCACAGAAGCAATCAGCGTTATTTTGTGTTATTCTAAATAGCGCTAATTGATTGTTTCAATGACGCATTCTCTATTCCGCAGTTCTTTTTCGCACCGTGTGATTTCACCCTTAAGATCTCTAGACTGGCGCGCTGTGGCGCCTCGGGCGCGAAAAGTTGGCGGATGTGCATTTAGGAAATCTGGCAACTCTGCCGGAAGTCGTATCTTTCATCTTCTTTTGTGTTTTGCACGTGGAATATGTTCATGTACTGATTCAGCGCTGGTCAGTTTCATAAATTGGTTATCAGTTTTGTAAATTGGTTATCTCGATCAGTACGAGAATTCAATCATGGTAAGTGATTCAGGTAACATTAATTTACAATTATAATAGTATATCTACTCTAGCGATGATATATTTGTATCACATTGAGTACCGATTTAGGTTATACATCTTCGATACAAAATATATAATACACTTAAAAAAGAAATTAATTGTACAGTATAATCACTTAAAAAAAATCAATAAAATTAGGCTTATTCGACGCGTTTTTGTATAAAACGAAAGAATCTGGCGGAAATAAGCGTCGCTTTGCCTCGCGAATTGAGATATTAAGCGTTACAAGTTGACAATTATAGAGGTTAGGAAATTTGTCACAAAGATGAAACGAGGTCTATAATTGTACTGTTGCATTTAGATTTTGATTTTCCACGCGAAACAAAATTCATTCCTCTCTTGCTAAAGAGATGCTTTCTATACAAAATAAGATCTACCTGTATAAAAATCATGTGTGTCTTCGCATGAGAGGAGGTGGAGTAGAAGTCGCTTCGCATGGAAAGTCAAAACCCATATGCAACAATACAATTCTAGACCTCGTTTCACCTCTGACAGATTTCCTAATCTCAATAGTCGTCAACTTCAAAGCTGATTCTACAATGAGTTGATAGTGAGTAGTTCTAAGTCTTATCGGTGAATTGATGAAATTCAATCAACTGGCCAACATTCAACTTAGGGCTACTTTTACCAAGCTCAGTTAATTAGGCCGGTTAGTCCACTGGAATTAGCCAATTGCATTTGTCATTTTATTTGACGACAGATGGTGATTAGTCAATTCCGATGGATTAATCGGCCTAATTAAGTTAATTGAGCTTGGTGAAAGTGGCCCTTATACGACTAATTTCTAATCTTTAGAAAAGGACAAAGAGTAAGTTGAAACAAGACTAAAATTAATCTACATTGGTGGAAACGGACATGGGACTGATTTTCTTAACTTTACTGACCAAAATCGACTTTATTCCTTCTCATTAGTCACACTAAACATCTCGTTGTACAACTAACAACTAGTAGATGCAAAAAATTATAGATACCTATTTAAGTTAAAACTTGTTTTCGACTACCAACTTATTGTAGAATCAGCATAACACTTAATTTAAACTTTGATTTGTAGGATAGAGCTACGCTTATTTCTGCTGCATTCTTTTTATGCAAAAATATATCGAATATGCTTAATTTTATTGATTTTTTTAGGTGATTATGCTAAAACTATATAATTACCATTTTGTATATTGTACGTGTTTATAGAATAATTATTATTTTTAATTTTCAGGCAACTACTAAAGTTGACAATCCTGAGAAGCCAGGACAGGAAGTCACTCCTATTCATCGAATTAGGATCACACTTACATCACGCAATGTTCGTTCTCTTGAGAAAGGTAAAGATATTAAAAATATCATATGTTTTGTCAAATTATTTAAGAAGAGTGAAAAGACTTGTTTTTATATTACAAAAAGTAAAATCGATTTTATTTTTTATGTAAGTAATCTGATTACACTAGTTAAAAGTTGGATCACTTGAAGGAAACAAAAAAATAGAATTCAAAATCAAGAAAACATGTGATGTTGCAATTATTTGTAATTGCATAGCAATATGTAATTGCACAGGCAGGTTGCTGCGCTATATGTGTCGAAAATAGAATACAGACAATATGATACATCATATTTGGTATTAACCCTTAATATATATCTTTAGATCATTCTTTAGGTGTTCTGCATATTTTTTTCTTTGAAATACGAAGAGCATCTAATCAAATATCGATATTCTTTATCTCGCAAACATAATAGAGTAATAAGCTTAAGCTTTAAGTAATTGATGAATTATCGAATGTGAACAGTCGAATGTGAGAAGAATAATCGACTATGATTATCAATTCCTTAAGGTTTACTACTCTATTGTGTTTGCGAGGTTAATTAGAATAACATCAAAGTTTACCTACGGGTCATAAATAACCTATCGTGTGTATAGAATATATTTTTGTAACTAAAAAAAAAAATTTTTTTTTTCTTTATTTTCAACTAATTCTCGTTTATATTACGGAAATATTTCGCAAATTATTAAAACAAGATTTTTAACTCTAGAACAACATATTAGTATACATACGATAATAATTATACATAATAAACACGATGGTTTTTGGCATCTTTGTGTTAAATGTTATCTGTGATATTCTATATTATGTTGTCTGTAATGTTATAAAGAACATTTTCCTAATAAATTATAAGTTTTTTTTAACATAATAGTAATAAAATGTATTGTTTAAATTATTTAAAATATAAAATTTAAAATATAAATATATTTTCAATCTATGCATATTAAACAAATATCATTTTAGATTATTAAATAATTAAATTTTTTGGACAATCGACACAACTTTTTTCTTTTGTAGTTCGAAATATCAACTTCAAAATATTGAAACATATTTTTCCTTTAAATATTTTTTGTTTCAGAATTTTATATTTTTGTATGAAAAAGTGCATTTTTCTCATTTTGTTAACTATATTTAGTTATAACAATTTAGATACAATTTATCAAAAATATACAACTTTACAAATACTTTTTAAAAATGTCAAAATACATGTAAAAAACTAAAAAAATGTTTAATAATTTTTATATATACTTATAAAAGTGATGAAAATTATTTCAGAACACGAACGACTGAACGTGTATTAAATGAGGGTGCGCAAAACTAAAATGTGTACTAAGGATTAAAAATGTAGAATATCTAATAAAGATAGAATATATAATAAAGATATATATTGTACTTAATAGCAAAAGTATCAGATGCAACAAAGCTTTTGAGCGTTTATACAAATCGGCTTTCGCATCAGGATATTGCTTCGTATATGTTCGTACAAGCGCTCAAAGTCTGTTGCATCTAATATTTTCACTTAATTTTCATTAAATACTTAAGTATTTTTAGAAAATATTCTATATTTTTAACATCAACATAATGTATTAGGTGTTGGAATTAATTCGTAGCGTTTTACAAGTGATGGGAAGTACTTTCATTAATGTATTTTTTAATGCTCATGTGAAATAAATAACATTCTTTCATTAAAAACGCTACGAATTAATTCCAACACCTAATATATTGGGCGCATTCGAAGACGCTGTTAGTGCTATTTGTGTCATTCTATCCTTGTTTACATCTAATGTACATACAAGGAAGATGGAACAATATAAATGGTACAATAGATTTGTGCACATTGCTTGAAATTCACAAAAAAATTTTTGATTTAAAATGAATTAGATACATATTTGAACGTTAAAAAGAGAGAAAGCGGAGAGTTCAAAAAGTATAAACAACGCGAACAGACTTAATAGCGCCTCCTTGAACGCACTCAACTACTTTTACATGGTCTCTCTAATCAGATTTAATAATATTTGTAGTTAAAAACTAATCAATCAATCGTTCCATTTTTCAGAGGAATAGCTATGATTAGTCAATTTCATAACTACAATGTTATTAAACTCGATTAAAGTCTACTATCGATACATATATGTGTGCGTGTGTAGTATAATGATCTTTCACGAATGGCTATAACGCCATATATTTTCCCGATTTTAAACTCAATTTTGTATGTGTTTCCGTCATGTTTTAACATAATTTTAACTAGCACTAGTAAATTTCTCATCTTAAAAACGATAGTTATAATTGAACGGTATTCATAATCCGTTCTTATTTTAAGAATGGAATGTCTTAAGTAATGTCTTAAGGGGGTCATTTATATTGGGTCATTTAAAAAGTATCCGCGGTTTTTTCATTCAAAAATTGAACAAAAAACCGCGGATACTTTTTAAATGACCTAATACTAATACGGCTCTCTTATTGATTCATGACATTACATCACTTTGGACACTTAAAAAGAATATTTTTAAAAAAGAATATTTTTGGGAATTTTTTGTGCAAAAAGGATAAAGTAAATTAAAAATGTATAAAGAGGTATTCATTATACATGTATTGAAGTATATAAAAAAAATTTTTTTAATTTGTTAAAGAAAATGGCAGCACTGCGGTTGATTAAAATAATCTGGTTTTCAGCAAATGTCCGATCATAACAAGATTATTAAACGGTTTGATCTAGAACAAAAACTAAAAATTTTTATTTTCTACATAACATTTACTAAAGAAATACGTAGAGGTTTTCAGAAATATGCATTTTTGTGAAAATAATGAACATTTGAAAAAGAAACAATTATTTTTGACAAACAAATTTTGCACAAAAATGTTAATGACAATAGTTTATAACTAATCGTAAAATCGCTACGTACTCTTTAAATAATTAGCAAAAGAAAATTCTCTGTAAATTTTAAGTGAATCGAATGAAAATTGTAGAAGTTATGATGTGATGTACGCCAATTTGATTGAAAAATGTCGTTTTGAGAAAAATTGAAGTTTCAATACGATTTTTGTGTATAAAATTTAAAAATGTAAAAATTAAATTGCAATGCCTGCGCCATACAGCTATCCTTCAAAATTGATATAAACCTCTTCAATATCTTTCCCGTCTGATTTTAAGCTCTGCGAGCTTTTTTGCTGCTTCAGTCGAGGAACACTCTACTACTTTGATGCGTTGAGCGTCTGCTTTCACACAGAAATTAACAGCTACAGTCTATAGGCATCTGCTAACACGGTGGTACTAGTTTTATAGCCTTTCTTTGTGATATACACTATTCTTTTGTCGTCTTTCATTATAATAAATACATTTTCAAACAACATGATAATAGATTTTCCAACACGAATCGTCAACCGCTGTTTGACATATCTATTTACACTGAAAAATAAATGTGTACTGTGTACGCTATCCGAGTACAGGGTGTTCAGCATAACGGTCCGCACGACTTTTCAGATGCACTTCCGACAATTTAAAAAAAAGTTGATAAGTGAATATTTATCTGTTTCATATAGGAGAAAATAAGCTAGAATATACAATAAAAAAATATTGAAAACAATATTTTTTTCATAATATTGTAGGGCTCTTCAAGATAAATTCAAATCACTATCGAAATGTTACCTTTATTGATAATGTATTGATTTTATTGATACTTGGTATTAAATTCGTATAATTATTTGTAATAGCAGTGCTTCTGACACAGAATATAAGTTAAAATTTTTCTTTATTCATTTATGCTTATAATAGTGTTCTTCGCTAATGAATATTATGATACATATCAGGTTGCCACAGATCTGGAAAACCGGGGAAAGTCAGGGGAAAAAAGCCTGGAATTTTGAAATTTGCTCACAATGTCCTTAAACTGGTCCTATTCCAAGTAGTTATAATTTTTTAAATTATATCTGACATTTATAGTCAAATACGTTCAAAACTTGCGCACTTTTAGACGATTTTAAAATAATTAAAATTCATATTTTGTTCAGTATTTTTATTTAATTCTTTTTTTTGTCATAACTGCATTCTTTTTTCCAAGACTTATTTTTGGCTGGCTTAAATTTGCATTCAAAATTTTACTACGTTACTAAGCTTTTTTTACGTTGTTTTTAATAATATAGATTAGCTTTCCTACAATCCTTGAGTCTAAATATTAAAATTTACATATTTTATATTATATTATATTAGTCATGGAAAAATTTCCATTTTCATCTGAAAAACCGGAAAAAGTCAGAGAATTTCAAAATTCATTTTCTGTGGCAATGTAATGCAACCCTGCATATGTACTTATTTAATAAAATATGCAATAAAATCAATAACTATGATATAAGAATATAAGATATTTCATTCCTGAAGATGCGCAGTAGTTCAAAATGGCGGTTGCTCCTAAACTAATTCACAATTTTGTCCAAAATTGTAAAAAGCAACATGGTCACTATCATACTTGCTATATATATATACATACATACACATTAGGTTAGAAGTGATCAAAAAACGGAGTCTCACGTCGTGCGTGAATCAGATCTCGTGTCCTTCTTAATTGTATTATTCTTTCGAGAAGTTTGTTTAATTCGAGATAACCGATGAGTGATTAAGAGCGAAGTTCTTTAAGTTTTATGTAGCAACAATAGTTAGAGTATGGGTGACAATGAATCATTATCAACACAGTGAATCATTACATCCTTGTTGCTTGCCTACGTTAAAAAAGGATAAAACGATTCATTGTGTTACACAGTGTCTAACTGTGTCCTTGCTGGAAAGTATCCTATGCATAACATCTATAAAAAATCGTGCTTATTCATTCATAAATATTTTCTTTATTTATCGATCTTTTTTCTAAATAATTAATTAGCATATTCTGTTGGTTTGTAGAAATGCCCACATGTTGTGTTCAAAACTGTAAGAGTCGTACATTAGTCGTACATTGAGCCGATCTTAAGTATCAAATTACATTTAACAGTATTATATTTATTAACATTATTGTCATTAATTTTATTAACATTTTATTTCATATTCCATTATTTTATTCATTTACGAGCTTTTGTATTTTTTTAAATTTTAATTTTGTTTTTGTTATGTATATTATACAATTGTTATGTATACAGTGATGGGAAAAAGTTCCGGAACGGTGAAGTATTTCAGCGAATTGCATTTTTTTTTGGGAAAATGTTAAATACAGAAGTTTTAGGATTTTTCCCTGGCTATCTAATGGTGATACTGAATTCGACCTTGACTACAACTTTGAAGGTCATTTCAAAGTCAAGTTCACTTTTTTAAATGGGAACCACTATTTTTTATTGCGGATTTGGAAAGAGCGGGAAATTGTCAAGGTCAAAACATGACCTTGACCATAACCTTGAAATCAACGTCAAGGTCATTTCAAGCTGAAAGTTCCAAAAGTCCTGGTACGGCAAGAATATCTCGGCGAAATTGCGGGAAAATGTTCAATACGAAAGTTTCATGATTTTTTCCCTGGTTATGTACGTTGTTTGTTTCGCACACAATTTTAACATCTCTTAGCCATTTTTCAACCTAAAATAAAAAGTATTTTTCATTTTTACCACGTGGAGGTAGATGTCTATCCAGAACCTTTTTACTCAGTTTATCTTTTTGTGTCAATTGTTGACGCTTACGTTCTACACGGAAAGAAGTTGCCATATTGTAGATACAGACCGTGTCCGGCGCATGGCGAGACATGTGCCGCTCCTTCCCTCGAAATTAAACCACTACCAAGAACAAGACCACTACCAAGACCAAAATCACTACCAAGACCAATACCACTACCAAGACCACTACCAAGACCAAGACCAAGACCACTACCAAGACCAATATCAAGACCAAGACCACTACCAAGATCAAGACCAAGACTGGGTGGGTGGGTGGATGTCTGTCTGTCTGTCTGTCTGTCTGTCTATCTATGTATGTATACATACATACATACATACATACATATGCGGTATTCGCAGCGCAGTAGCATTCGTTTTCTTACTTTTTAAAAAGGAGCAGGTCGAAATCAATTTCGCAGTGCACATAGTACGGAATTTTAATGTAAAACCTAATAATAAGAT